CCAACCAAATTACCAAACCAAAGTTATCAAATATCAAACCAGTGGAACTACAAATCCACTATCCACAAGATCACAATACATAACCAAGAGGAAGAAAACAAAAATGAAAGTAATACTTGAATACTCAAAAGAATCTTCAATAGTTCAATCAATGTTCAAAGTTTAATCATTATTCAACATTCATCATTCATCATCAGAAAAAGTAGGGTCAGCTGCATTTGCATCATATTCATCGTCATTGGAGTCGTCACTCTCCTCGACATATTGGTCATCATCCTTCGTCTATTCTGAATCTGCCTCTTCTTCTTCCTCTTCCTCCACCCTCGTCCTCTGTGCAGAAGATCTAGTGGCCCTAAGAGGGTCAGTTAATGTCCCTGAAGCATCCATGACCATAACCCATGTCAATCATTCATGCCCCCCTCGACCTCATCATCAACTAACCACTCCATAGCATTGTCCATATTTTTTGATCTGATGGGGTCTCTCTAATCTCTCTTAGCAAACTTGTCCTTCAAGAATTGATTATACTAGACATAGACTAGATCATTGAGCCTCTTTGTTTCAAGCATGTCCCTTCTCTTTGTATGAATCTGACAAAATCAAATAAAACTAATTAAAATCTATGGCTTATGTATTATTAAAAAAATTATACAAATTACCCTTACGGCTTTACCCCTTCCAAAGTACTCCAATTGTGCTCACAACCGAATGAGGAAGTGGTTAGATTTAAGATCTGAATGGCCAAGTTTTATAAATTTGGAGAACTACACCCATGTTGGCTCCACCAATTGGCTGCAAAGATATAGAATAAAATCATAAATAAATAATAAAATTATAAAAATGAAACTTGATTACTTGAACTTGATGAACGTAAGAATATTATTATTACCTGGATCAATTTTGGTCTTTTGCCTCATCGTCATTGGACTCCCAAAAGACTTTAATGAGCACTTGTAATTTATCGGCTCATCAGCGCACATAATATCCTGGATATCAAGATCATAGACTAGTACATCTACACTTATTAAATCCAGTCACAATTGTGTCATTTCTGTGTATATCCTTGTCAACATAAAAAAACTGGGTTCAAATAATAACCAGCTGCATGCAATGGCCGATGTAGCTGCCTATCCCACTTCTCATCAACAATCTCTCAAACAGGCTTATAGCGATTCTCATCATCATCAAAATTTTGGGCTATCTCTCTTTTGCATTTCTCCATAGCCTCATATATGTAGCCCATAGAAGCCTTGTCACTATCAACCATGCGAAGGACTTTGACAAGAGGAAAAAATACCTTAAGAGCACCCTTCATCCCTTGCCAAAAAGCCTTAGAAAGGATAATATCTCCCACCTTCTTCCCAACCTAATCCTTGGACCACTTGCATGCTCTCCAGTCATCCGAGGTAAACATTTGCCTCAACTGCACTCTCCTTGAATGTATGTTATCTAGGCATAAGTACCAGGTCGCAAATCTCGAGACCTCAGGCCTCACAATCTCTTTCTTCTTTGTGAATCTACGCATCATGCTGAGGGTGAGATTGTAATAATCTTGAAATTCAAAAAAAATATATATATATAATAATAATATTAATGGTGTTAACAGAAATAAATACAAAATAATAAATAAATAAAATAATAAGTATATATTAGTAATGATAATAATAATAATAATAATAATTTTATAGCGTTAGGATATTGTTGCTTTTATATTAACAATAAATAAACGATATTATTGTCAATATACTTAAGGGTTCAATTCTACTTGGGTGGACCTTAGGTCCACCACTTAAAGTTTTATAAGAACACCTCTTTAAGCAACACCTTGCATCTGAGGTGTATCGTTTTTATTAGCCTGTCTCTCTCTTTCTCTCTCTCTGCGTTTTTTGGTCAAGGGGCTTCTCTTTTTCTCTCATTAACAGCTCATCAACCCTCCCTCAAGAAGCATCCTCTGCTTCAACAACAAAGCAGATTCGTTCGCTTATCTCCTCTACCCAACCACAACTCTCTGTACTGGACCTTCTCCATTTATAATCTCTCTCTCTAAGCATGGTCTATGAACCATACACATGAGACTACGATAACACATATGATAAGCCCACATCCAAAACGGATACTCCCTCAATTTCGAAATTAAAGTAAGTGACATCATCTTCCTGAAATATAGTCTGTTTTTAATAAATAGTGATATTTTCGTCCAGGATCTTTATTTTATAAGTTTTGTGTGTAAGTGACCACATTGTCTCAAAAAATAATCCATTCTTTTTAAAAATAAAATGAAATAATTATTTCTGCTTATTATCATGAATTTTAGGCGCGATAAATTTTATGCGGACGCGACCTCATTATCTTGAAAAATAATCATTTTAATAAAAATTGTGATATTTTATCTATGTTAAAAATTTTAGATGCTGCATATTCTTAGAAATAAATTTATTTATTTTTCTTGTCTATTGATAGAAAATTTTAGATACTGTAAAATTATTAGAAATAAATGTGATATTTTTGCTGTTAGTAAAATTGTGAGATTTCTTTCTACTGTTTTTGAATATTTAAACATTGTAAATTTCATGTGCAAATAACTGCCTTATTATTTGAAAATTGATATTTTTGCAATTGATTATAGCATTGTTGTGAAATGTTTATTTACGAATTGACATCCCATAAATTGTGATAATTCTGTATTCTTGAATTTCTATAAGAGTTTTTCTATACATATTAGATTGGCAATTATGCTAGAATGTCTTTACGAACTGCTACCTTTCTAAATTTGAGCTCAAAATATTTGATTGGTTATTTTTTAAATGTTATTGAAAGTGACTGTTATTAATGGTTTCAGTGAAATTCATATTAATGATTTCAGTGATATGTTGAGTACATGATATTGCTGCTTTCGAATGTTTAAAGAGATTTAGAAATACTTTAAGTAATCAAGTGGACTCATCCGGTTCGCCGGTGAGGTATACGTGGACCTATCCGGGACGTCGGTAGGGATTAAGTGGACTCATCGGGTACACCCGTGAGGTATAAGTGGACCTGCAGGGATCAAGTGGACCTATCTGGGACGTCGATAGGGATTAAGTGGACCCATCAGGACGTTGATGGGGTATATAAGTGACCTACTTGGGACGCCAGTAGGGTAATTTGTAAAATCTTTTGAATTATGCACTGCCGTTAAAATGTTATATGCATTTCAATTATTCGGATTATACTTAATTATGCATTTTTGAAAGTGAAACTGTTAATGCATTTCTGTTAATAGATCTCCTTTTTGAAAATATTGATATCTTTCAACCATGATTATTTTTAGGATTATGATGATCACTTACTGAGTAGCCAAACTCATCAAACTACGATAAACATTTTTTCAGGATAACTGCGGTTTCATTTTGAGTGCTCGTCAGGATCAACATTGGAAGATATTGTAGTTGTGCCTAAGCTTCCTTTTGTTACTTTGTAAGAATTCTCCACTGTAAATTTGTCCTATCAAGAGATGTATATATGTTTTGACTGTCATATCTCAGGAATATCTGTATTGTAAATTCTTGGGGTGTGACAGAGATGGTGGCTATAATTGAAATTTGTAATTGACTTTGCCTTCTTCATTGAACCTGATATCTCGGTTAAACCACCAAGAGCCTCAAGAATGAGGTCTATACAATGTGTTGCACATAGTGTCCAAAAGATTCTAGGTTAAGCTATGCACAACAAATTAGCTGCAGCAACATTAGGAACAGCATTGTGTACAACAAGATGCTCCCCAACCTCCTTGATTCCCTTCTCTATAACTTGGAATATGCAATGGGCATCATGGATAAGAACAAAGATATCAACAAACCTCAAAAAAATAGTCCCTAAAGGACAATTCATGAGCAAATTCATCTGACTTCTTCTTTTCCTATCACTCAAAGCATCAGTCATAATAGACACCCCATATTGAGCCCATGCATTTTTCTTAACTTCTACAGCTTCCTTCGTGACACTCACCACTTTTTTCAAAAGAGGCTCTGAAAGCTCATATGGAATTGGAGGTTTCATCCCAAGCCTAAATTGGCCAATTGCCTCTACCATGGCATAGAAGCTACTTAGGCGAGCGATATTGAAAGGAATGCCTGCCTCATAAAACCATGTAGCAACATAATATGCAGCTATATCTCTTTCTTCCTTCTTCATTCTATTTTCAATGGTAGTTTGCATCTTTGTTTTCTCTCCTGCAACCTCAGGGTTAGGCCGAGTCAAATAACTATCCATAGGGCCTCTAACTCGAGGCTTCTTACTCCCAGAAACAGAAGCAATTACAACTCCCTTTCCATTCCCCCTAATAATGGATTGCTTTACCTCTTGACATCCCTCCCCAATCCCATCCTCATCACTATCACCATCATCATAATTGACCCGAACCCCAGACCTAATCTCTGCTATGGAGACAAATCTCTCATCTTTTTTCATGTTTACCATACTCAAAAAATTGGTTATTTCCTCTTTAACAGCATCAGGAGTCTTTTTACATGGGGCAACATCCTTCCTGATACCAGCAAGATATTTCTTGAACCGGTTTATGCCCCCTTTTGTATCCTTCTCACAAAACTTGCATCTTATGAAATTTTTATCATTAGGATCTGGGATATAGCCATATTTCAACCGAGATCACCACTCCTATCAGATCCCAAAGAAGACATCTCAAAATAATACAACTTATACAAGAAATAAAAAAAATCACTTACTTTAATTGCCCAATCTCCAAACTTCCACCTCATAGATGCTTCTAAGGAATCAAAATCTTCAAAAAAAAACCCAATAGATTTATATAACATTAAAAATTAAATCTAACATCAATGGGTGATGGTTTCATCAATTTCTCATAACTTTGAAAAATCCTTCAATCCTAAAGAAATCATCAAAAACTAGTTTTTTGGGGACTTTCTCTCTCTAAAATGGGCTCTAATGAGTTTTAGGTTTCAAATGAACCTAAAACCCCCATTTTTTGTCCCTTAATATAAAAAAAAGGACAAAAATAGACCCCATCGAAAGCTTTTTCCACCTCTGGGTGGGGCAGGGCGTTGTACTTGGGCGGCTGCCCAAGTCTGGACACTGGGCCGCCTAGGCGGTTTCCTAGGCGCCTAGGCGGCGCCCAGAAGCCTCCGCTTTTTTTGGGCACCTAGGCCTGGGCAATGTGCTCAAGCCCCCAGATCCGCCTAGGCGGCCGCCTAGGCACTGAGCAGTCCGCTTTTTGAAACACTGATCATGGCTTCAGTCTAACAGTCAAATGTGCATTACTTTTTTTAGCAATAAAACAGGTGGGGACTCACAATCCGGGATAACTTAGGAAAACAACAAAAATTTACCCATAATATGTAAATCTTTCAGCACCCTTGTATCTTCAGGCTACACAAGAACCACCCAATTATTTTTTTGAGAATAGTGAGAGTGACAATCCACTATAACCAATGCAACGGTTTGGAAGAGATGAAAAGACAAAGTGAGCAATATACACATTGCCTAAATGGACATACACTAAGATTAGATGGAACATATCTCAACCAAGCCAAAAGAAAGGATGGAATACAACCCAACTTAGACAATAAAGAAAGGAGGGAACATAACTTTGCCAACATGATACAAAAGGAGCACCATGCCTAAATCGATAGAATATGAGGCTTGCAGATACAGAGACAAGGATGATGATCCCCAACATATGATGCTTTTCAAGATCAACCTCAAACCAATGTGTCCAAACTAGAAGGGATTTAAAAGTTTGTCATAATATACAGAAGCAAGGGTGTTGCACAAAGATATTATTGAATTGTTTTTTTCTTTTGGCCAAGTAAACTGTTAGTTTAGGTTAGAACTCACGCTTTTATCGATGTAATTCATGACCAACTCAATTCAATAATAGCGCAATAACAACCAATAACAAAAGCTACTATTGATCTCACTTGGCCCCAAATTAATCAATTCAAATTTAACAAGCGAGAGAGAGAGTGAGAGAGCGAGCTTCACCAATCATGAATTGATATACTGGAAACATGCAAGTGATTCGGGAAGCGTAACCTCTTTCCCATTTCAAAACTAGAGCACCAGGTAACACAATATTGAACTATTGAGGCCAACTACTGCTAATAGTGCCCATCATATGGAACTCAAAGTAACCTGCATATGGAGAATGACAAATAACAAAAAAGACGATTGCTGCTCTGGTTAGACATGAGGTGCATACCCCTGATAGGCCAAGCCTGGAATGAAATTTTTTCTGAAGAGAATCAAATGCAATAAATATGATGTATATATGTTGATGAATATCTTTGCAAGGGAGGTGTAAATTACGGCAGGAGAGTGCAAATTTTGAAAATTGCCATAGCTTGAAAAATTACTTGCCAGAATGGCTCTTTCAGAGAAAAATATATTTTAAAAGTTAGCATTAAAAAAATAACAAACTTCAAAGTTGGATATGACTGCCACTATGTAGTCTACAAGCATCTCCATGTAAGATAAATTATTCGCATGTACTGCTATGCGCCCACTTCCAATTCAGACTCCTATAAGAAACAACAAGAAGTAGCATAGCTTATTCGTATGACAGGTCTCTCCCAGTTATATGAATGGAAGTAAAGCCAGCTTTGCAAAAAACATCATTCTGAAATGAAGGTTGAGAAAAAAATTTTGAGTGATGTTATCAACTTACATAAAACTGAAGATATTGATCCTTGAATTTGCAATAATATTTCCAAGAAGAATTATGCAATTCACTTATGAGTCGCTAGCCTTTCAGCCTGATTAATATAGGCATCATCCCAGTCACATTCCTCACCATCATCATCATCAGAACTGCTACAACTCACCCCACTAAGGCTTGGATCAGACTCTTCATTATGTAAGCTCTCTAAAATAGGAATAACCCATTCTCCATTAGATGGATCTCTGCCAGCCTCTTGAGAGACCATGTTTCTTTCTTCTTGTGACCCCATCTTTTTGGTATTGCGAAAACCCATCAGAAGGAGATCTAGAATCTTCCTCCGAACAGTGTATACAGGGTTTGGCTCAATCAAACAACCTTTGCTATAGGAATCTCTAAGAAAAACATTTTGGATGTTCCCTCTGGTTGATATATAGAATATTCCAGGGTGCTTCAGTAGAAGCTCTCGCAAGTTAATTTCCACGCCAAAGTCCTTTCTGAAATGTGACAATCGCTCTACCTCAACCATTTTCTCCACTGTTATGCTGAGAAACTCGTGAAGAATGCCAACTGCCCTTTTCTTGAAACGATCGACACCCCCACAAGTACGTGCCCGAACTACCTCTTTACGCTCATAAGGCATCAAATAATTGAGCCTTTGCCAAGTCTTCATTCTCTCTCTGGCTCCCTTCACTATCTTAAATCCTGTTGGATAGTTGAATGGGAATGCATACCTAGTCTCGAACTCACTCAACCACTTTTCTCTATATTCTCTCTCTCTCCACTTCTCTACCTCAGCAACTGCTAAACTTTCATCCCTTTTAACCAATTTTACAATCTCGAGGTTTACCAAACTGAAATCTTCAGGATACTTGAGAAAAATGGAATCTCTGAAGTTTTCTGGCAAACCCAATTCTCTACTTATCAGCGATATGGCATGCACGTGCAGAGTGCCATTGATGGACACCATTAGCAGCTTCTTCAAGCGTTCAACTGCCATGAATTCAGTCTCTCTTATAACTCTTTTTTCTTCTTCTATCAAACTAAGCATCATCTGGGTAAGCCTGCAACAAAGGGTCCTCTTCAGAGGGTGAGTATAAATCTCAAAAATGTGTGGATACTTTCTGAGAAAAATACCAATTCCAATATTCAACCCCACTTTGCGCCTCCACTTCGAAAGCAATTGGACCGACACATACCGGTCTCTTCGAGACATCATCAGTTCTTGAATCCTCAATACTATCTTCAGTCTCTTGAGGCTTCTCATCAGCTTGTCCAACTTGAGGTCTCTTGTTCTGTCCTCGAGGCGCATTTGTGCAGTTATCACAGGTTTCTTCCATCTCTTCTGTATAAACAGATTAAGAGGCCCAAAAGAAATGTCTGATAACCTAATGTTCTTGGTTACAGGAGGAGAAAGCTTGAACAAGAGAGATGTTCCATGGGTTTTCAGTGTTCTAAGTTGAAAACTTGCAGAAGACAGCCGCGGATTTTTGCAGATGCAGCCAATGAATCCAAACATTTGAAAGACCAAATAAATAACCAAATCCTTCCAAAACGACCCACTTATTCACTTTCAACAACAATTTTCCCTTTTTTCTTGATTGGTGACTTTCATGGACAAATATTCCAGTATTGTTCTCACATACTGAACCAAATCCGATCAAGGATGGGGTGGTAGCTGAGCAATTGAGAGGAATAAAAAAACACTGTAAATTGATTCAGAATTATAAGCTGGTTTTGGATATATTTCAGGTTTCAGGATGCAAAATACAATGTTTATTCTCAGATTTGCACTAATTTGGGAGTTAAGAAACCCACCCTTGAATTGCTTCTCACAAAAAAAAAATACCACCCTTTAATTATCAAGAAACACTCCAGACATTGATTATATTCTGAAAAAGAAAGAACTTTTGAGGAACACTGTTGCTTCTTCTTGTCAACAAAGTTATACTCATGAACCAAACCTCCAATTCCATTGCAATCACAAACGAGCAATAAACTCGAAAATATCATTAAGAATATAATTTCAGGGGCTAAAACATATTTAAAACCCATGCCAAGCCATTAAACGGTAAAAACATCTCGCGCGTTAGAGGGTTTAACCTTTAGGTTTTCATTTCAACCTGCTACCTCTTCGAAGTATATGTATTGATTGGGAACACTAAACACAGTACGGATATTTGAACAAGGATATTTCAATAATTTGACCTCGGACTAAAGCAAAATATCCTCTTATCTCCAATTATTGTGTAATTAAACTCGGGAATTGATAATATTACTTATAAGCGAAAAACTCCATATTTTCTATCTTTCAACCCTCAAAATCCTTTTGACCATTTATTATTGGTGACCTCAACAACTTATGAAATGGTTATCTCTCTTTTTAAAACTCCATCTCTCTCACATCATCGTCTCTCTCTCAAGGCTCTATCTCTCTCTAAAACCTAAACTCCATCTCTCACACTCACATCATCGTCACTCTCTCTAAACTCTAGCTCTCTCTCTAAAACCTAAACTCCATCTCTCTCTGAGACCCAAACTCCATCTCTCTCTCTAAAACTCCATCTCTCTCACAAACACAAAAATGTGGGCTCATGTTCGAGCTCAAGCTAAATCTCTTGACCGTTAAACTCATCGACAAACGAAGAGAGAGAAAGATGGAGTTTTAGAGAGAGAGATGAAGTTTAAATAGGATATCATCTTAGTGTTTGTTTGGATAAAAAATTTAGGTCAAAGAGGTGCAGAGGGTTATAAGATAGAAAAGATAAAGACTTTTTGCTTACTGGTAATATTTACAATTTTTGGGTCTCAAAAGATATGTAAGTTAAAAATAAGGGATAAAGAGATACTTTCTTTTTGAAATATGTTTTTTGAAGAAGTAATTGAGTCGAATGAAAATTCAAACATAATTCATATGTTTAATATTTCTCAATTGTTAATCAATGTTTCTTCAAAATTCCAATGAGGGAGATGATCGAGGGTTCTTGGGTGGGGGGACCCGACGCGTATACCCGACCTCAGGTATGGGTATGGGTTCAAATTTTTGACCCAAATACCATTCGGGTCTAGGTATGGGTCCTAAGAATTTTATAATTAGATATGAAAATAAATTTTAAGATAACCCTGAGAAATTTTTACACCAAAATTACATGTTATGATAAAATTTGAAGTGTGCCTTAATTGGTTTGTTTAAGGTTACAACCTTATAGAAACCACACCTTTTATAGTATTATTGGCCAGAAAAAAAAATCATAGTTATAGATAATATGATGGTAAAAAGAAAGCCAAAATAAATAAATAAACTCATAGTACATAGATCCAACCAAATACGGGACCCAATAAGTAGACCCGGGACCCAATGGATCGGTATATGGGTCCAAATTTTGGACATGAATATTATTCGAGTCCGAGTCTGGGTCCAGTCGGACCTAGCATGTACCTGACCCGTTGCCACCCCTATTCATGGGAGCGAGAAAGGAAGTGGGCTTCTAAGACAGAGAGATGACTGGGATTGAAAAATATTAATTTTCCTACAATAAATTATCCACCTTTTTACAGGGACAGTAGAAAGATTTATCCCACAATTTGGGTGTCACCTATTGGAAATAATTGGAGATGTCTTATTTATAAATAAGAAATTACTGGGCATTATGTTTCGACCCAAATAGGCCCTTAACAAGTATTTCTATAATGTTAATCGCGACTTCCTTAGGACTTGTTTGATTACTGGTAACTCGAAATTCCTCATGAGCTAGAAGTTTTGGATTTGTAGAAATTGGGAATTTTGTATTATGATTTGGGAAATATTGTTTTTTGATAACCTGTCATGAATCCTAGAAGGTCTTAGAACATGTATTTGGTTAAACCTAAAATTATAAAAAACAAGATGATTTAAAACTTAATTAGTTTTAGCTCTTATTTGAAGCTTTAATTGATGAGAGGGTAAGATTTGTCAAATGAAGGAAATTTCAAAGCCATGACTCATCTACAGTAGGTCTAACAAATTGGACTGACTAGATCACATAAAAGGAAATAACAATATGATTGTAGATGATGGGTAGCTGAGAGCCTGTCTAATTGTCTCCATTTTAATCTTTTCTGTATGTTCGATTAAACAAAAATTTAGACATCTATACTTCTCACCCTCATACACATGCAAAAATTGTAAATAAATCTTTTAAAAGAAAGAAATACCAAAATATTTCTTAATTTTTTTTAGGTATATTTTGGCCATTTTATTTGTTTATATTGTTTTCTTATGTGTTCCACATATGCACCCCAATGAGGCACCACACACTTCAATTTTATCTTGATCTAATATCAAAAATCAAAATGGATGAACGTATTGGCCAATATTTTTTCTGAAATCACAAAATAATTCACATTGGATATCACCTAAAAGGTTATCGGTCTCAATCATCGATCTCGATTGGATGGTTAAAAGCATGTCTATGTATTTGAATTTTGTCCCCTTCTTATATACATGGGAATGATTTAAAATTTGGGGCAGCCTAGGCTCCAAACAATCAAATTAGAGCCTACCTCAATAATTTCACTAGAAGAGGTTGTTTTGATGCCCAAATATCTTCAAATTGATCATCTCGACATCAAGATGCATGGGATTGAGAAAAAAATGCAAATAGTGCATCTTGTAACGTATTTTTTTACCATCAATTTTTAAGTTATTCAAGTTTTCATAGATCTACTCGATCTACATTATTTTTTAAGCTTTAATTTTTATGATTAAAGATGAAAATATATTTTAAGACTAGTCAAAGATTTCTGGTATTGAAACCACATTTCTCAATACTATTTGAAGGTGGGCTCTAATTTGATTGTTTAGAGCCTCGGCTCTATACAAACCGTACCCTTATTTAAAATGTAGAAGTAATATTTGAAAAAGTAAAATGTCTCAAATACTCTTGAAACGTTGAGGAGTATTTTGATTATTTTATTTTTCTCAAATTATTATTGTTATTTATTTACAAATGTGTCTCCAAGAGACAAACAAACGCTGCAATTTTCACTTAAATATAAAACTTGAGAGTAAAATAGAAAAGCGTGCGTGCTATAAACTAAAAAAGACATTGTAATCCATCATCACTACCAAATATTGGTACTTAACGGGGGCCATAGAACTGTGGTATGCACTTTTAAGAAGTTCCTGACATGCCTCCTACTGTAGCACTTCCTATTGTGAAACACATTGACAGTTTTGTACCTTCAAATAAGGACACAGTTTCGATGAATCCATATAGAAATGAGTCAACTCTTAAATATCTATTTTTTAGATGAATTTTTTGACCCAATTTTTAAGGACATGTAATCTCTAACATGCAGACCATGAATATAACAAAAAAATTAAGAAATAAAAATAATGATTTTGTGAAGAAAACATTTAGACCGTTAGTTTAAATTGTTTTGAGCACAAGAAATTGCAAAAAAAAAAAAAAACCAAAAAAAGGAAAAAACTTCTCAAATATTCAAATGCTAAAAGTGCCAGTATTTGCACTTTAAACTCAAAAGGAAAACAAGAATTATATCACATGAATCACAATCGAAACATGACAACCCTGACCACTAATTATCACTACTAATAATCCACTGATGGCCAAATAAATACTGCTAAAAATCCAAGGAAATCTTAGGAATTTGATACGAATCCGTTAGAAATCCTTATTGACCTAAACAATAAAAAAAGAAAAAGCTAGGCAACTTATACACAACATTTCATGGTAAAATCAAACACATTTTCTCCTCAAAATAATCAAGATGAAATAGCTTCCTTAATTAAAGAGGTTCTCTGTTGCAGATCTCTATACAAAAGAATCAAAATGATACAGATTTCATCAACTAAGATTTCAACAATTAAAAATCAGAATTAAGAACATTTGCCATCCAATACAATCAAAATCTCAGTGATTTCATCAACTAAGATTCAAATTTACATATTTTCAGTCAAGATAATTAAAATGATATGGATTTCATCATCTAAGAATTAAAACTAAGTGGCAGACCTCTTCTATAAAAAATGTCAATCTTTAATCATAACTACATAAGATAGCCCCTAAATCTCATTTTGATATGACTATTATAAAATAAACCATTATAACTTAGACCCTATTTCGATAGTGTTCCCACATTCAAGTTGCTCCTCTCTCAATTATGTACTGACATCATGATCGTCCCTACATACTCTAAAATAAATTTATTTGTATAACATGTTCTTATGGGAACATATTATACTATTATTCTATCATAATTGATAAGCATTTTTAGATCTAATGTTTAGAAATTCGTTTTTAATCACAAATGAATACTTATGGTTTAAGAAATTAAATTATTATTTTTTTAAATTAGATATCTAGTTTTCAATTGAAATTGAATATACTCGAGAGAACACAATAGTTTTATGTTAACTTACTATGTAATAGATACCTACGATACTTTACCATATATATCATCACAACTATGTACATAATAAATATAAAATTTTATCTGAACAACATTCCTAACCAAGCTTCTAACTTTGAAAACAATTTTTTGATCGATAGTTGTTTCCAAACCTGTTCCACGCATTATTTGAATTCTTTTAAAAAGAATTAGAAGGTTTTTAATATGGGTGTGATTTACATAAAGTTGGACCCTTAAACAATTAAAGTAAGGCACACCATCAAAATTTATCATAAGATGTAATTGGCGTAAAAAATTATAGGATGTCTTGAGACATATTTGTCGTGGTGATATGTTGTGTTACTGGGGCATAAAAAATCATAGGATATCCTGAGATATATATGTCATCATAATATGTTGTGTTACCTGCTTAACTTGTGTGAAGAGTTTAGATGTCAATGCTAAGTGGCCCTAAAGATACCTAATGAAAAGCAATAGTAAAAAATTTTATTGTAAGAATGTTAAGAATAACCTATGTAACTTATATTGAATTAGAACAAATGAAAATTAAAAGCTCAATTTTTTTAATTTAACTGATAAATTGATATTATACTTATAAAGGTATAAATGATTGATTAAGATCCAAAATTAACATTCAACTAATATTAATCTGAAGTAAACAGCTATTTAGAACAATGAAATGTGTCTTTTTCTTAGTGGCACTATGTTGTGCTACCCGCTCGACTTGTGTTAGATTATTTTTAAAAAGTATTAATCCTAAATAAACTATTGCCAATTAGTAGTTAAATGCATCACTTTTTTGTGCCATTACATAGTTAACTTTTAATTAATTTTATAGCAGTATAATGTGTCATTTTTGTGTTGGCACCATGTTGTGCTACCCGCTTGACTTATATCAAATTTATTTTAAAGAAGTCAACATGAATTTATAATTTATTTAAAATGGGCATAATGTTTCATTATAGATTTTAAAAAATATGTACATTACACTATGACGTGGGGGCTTTATGCTTCAATTGCATATAAGATTAGAAGTTCTTTATTGTAGTCTTCACGTACTGTATTGTAGACTTGTTTGTAATTAATATTGTATTTTTTAAGCCATTTAGATTTATTAATCAACTCTTTTAGGACTTTGTTCTAATTTATTATAACATATAGAAATTAATTTAAATATTTATTAGTTATTAGTTATAATTTATGTTCATATTATGACAATTTAAATTTTTTTATGTTACATATATATTAAAGTCCAATATATGTAAAATGATAAATTAATAACCTTATATGAATATAAGTTACAATATAATAATTTTATTATGAATATACATTCTATTGTTTTAAAAGAATTTTATTTTACAGTAATTTGGACACTCATCAAAGATTGGTGGTGAGTTTTTAGTAATCTTAAGTAAACTTCTACTTAGAACTATGTAATGTGTCATTTTTATAGTAGCACTATGTTGTGTTACCCACTTAACTTGTGTAAAATTTATTTTAAAGAAGTTAAAATAAATGTATAAATTATTTAAACTTCATATATTTTCATTATAAAGTTTAAATGGGCATGTGTATTGGATTGCCTAGAAGTTAAATAAGGGAAGTTCTTTATTGTGGTTTTGCTATACTATCAACTTGTGTCAAATTTATTATAAAAAAGTAGGAAAAATATCTCCTTACCCTTTATTTTTTACTTTTATTTCTAATCAAATCCAAGGTTTGAAAATGTTACTTGTAGAGTAAATTCTTCATTTTTTCTATCTTGCAACCCCCTGTACCCCTTTCACCTTTAATTTATGACCCATAAAAATACTAAAATAACACCTATCTCTCAAAGCACTCTCTCTCTCAACAATCCATCTCTCTCTCTAATACCAAAGTTAACCCTCTGCATCATCACTGTCTCCTCTCTCTCTCTCTCTAAAAATAAAACCACTAACCCTCTGGGACTATAATCCTCTGAAACTCAACTCCCACCTCTAAAACCTCTCTGGGACTATAATCCTCTGAAACTCTCTGGGACTATAATCCTCTGAAACTCAACTCCCACCTCTAAAACCTCCTTCAATTCCCCCTAAATATCACTTCCTTTTGGCTATTAGTGGTTTGGCTATTAGTGGTTGGCCAGTACTTCAACAACCCCCTTATAACTGTCCTTGCTAATTTGGGTTCCTTCTCTACGAACTGAATGACACTAAATGATAACTGTTGAAGATAAGCCCCCATATTTTTAGCCTTACGAAGTGGGATCAAAGCTCTTACTAAGAACATCTTATGTTCTTCCTTTAATGGCAAAGCAAACCCGCTAATTACACTCCCAATAACCTCTAACAACTCGGCTATCCCATTATGCCTATCTGTTTCAAAAACAAATCGATAGAATATAGTACTCAGTGTTTTCCTTATAAATGGCCTATGAACCATGAATTTCCCATTAATTCTATGCAAGATCTTCTTCAAGGCCATGAATATATTACTCACTTGTTCATTGAATTTACAGGAACCCAAGTTGACAAATTCAAAATCAAGTTGATACATTATACCATTTATTTTCAACTCCACTCTCTCTCTCTCTCTCTCTCTCTCTCTCTCTCTCTCTCTCTCTCTCTCTCTCTCTCTCTCTCTCTACTCTACTACTACTCTACTACTACTCTCTACTCTACTACCTACCTTACTA